TGGCTTTCAGTCTGATTGCCGATTTGAACACAAGTGTACTATACCACCAATAGACTATACCACCCAATAGAAAGAGCCTCATGAAAAGATGTATATTTAAATGTGGCTCTGACTGCCCCTTAGAGATACCCTAAAGCAGTGTTCCTCACACTCAAACTGTGTATATAAATCACTACACATCTTGTTAGATGAAAATTTGATTCCATAAATGTGAGGGATGGATCTGAGATGCTGCATTTCTACTAAGCTCCTGTGGACATGTCTGCTGCCAATCCTTTGATCATCTTTGAGGAGCAAAACCTTAGAAGATTATTGATAAACATGTGAAAAACACAGGTATGCATGTGAAACCACTTTGGGTATTCAATTTGAGTCATCAAGAAAAAGTCCTAGTTAAACAATTTATGTTCCATGTATTCTTCAATTTTTCCTTGTTAGCAAAACCCAAAGCAAAACTTGGAATTGGAAAGACAACCTATGAAAGATATTCATCCTAAATAATTTTGTTGCTTTTTGATTGCCTTGAAAGATTAACTTCTCTATAGCTATCCTAACCAAAATGATAAAAAAAAAAAAAAAGCTTTGGCAATTAGAGGACCCAGTCACAAATTCATCCTTTCAATTGTGTCAACTCAATTTAAATAAAAAGTAGATTGGAAAGAAAAGGAAAAAGACAACAGTTGACTCCAAGAAATCAAGAAAGAATCTCTATGAGTACAGAAATGAATAGCTCATGGGGTCGGCACTGTGGCTTAGCAGGTAAAGCCGCCACCTGCAGTCCTGGCATCCCATATGGGCACTGGTTCGAGTTCCAGCTGCTCCACTTCCATTCCCGCTCTCTGCTTTGGCTTGGGAAAGCAATGGAAGATGGCCCAAGTCCTTGGGCCCCTGCATCCCCGTGGGAAACCCAGAAGAAGCCCCTGGCTCCTGCCTTCAGATCAGTGCAGCTCTGGCCATTGAAGCCATCTGGGGAGTGAACCAGTAAGTGGAAGACCTCTCTCTCTCTCTCTCTCTCTCTCTCTCTCTCTCTCTGTAACTCTGCCTTTCAAATAAACAAATCTTTAAGAAGAAATGAACAGCTCATAAAGTAAATAGAAAAATACAGAAACCAGACTCGCATAAACACCTGGCTTTCCTAAAAATTGTTTTCCATTGGTGTTGGCATTTTCTAAAGGAAATTAAAACAATTACAGGTATAACAATCATTGGTGTATAAGTTATTTCTATGTTCCTTATTTAAGTACAATTGACAACTTCTTATTCAAGAAAATATACTTCTTTCAGGTTCCAGCCCCACAACATTTTGACCAATTTTTTCACTGCTGCATGGACACTTGGCTGCACTACATAAGATTTTCCTTACATATCAGAAAATGCATAGCAGCCCACTCCCTTGGGCTAAATCGTTCCTAATCCTGTAGATTTGCTACACAATGACCCCCATCAGGAACCCAGATTATCAACTCCATACTTATTGCCATGATGGGTCCTTTTATGTTACTTCTTCAATCAGTTCATGGAAGAGAAATTTAAAAATAAATTTGATGCCCCCAAATTTGAAATCCATGCATATTTTTTTCCTAAGACCTTCAGCAATGGGTCTGGACCCAGCAGAACTGTGTTTCAAAGATATCCAGGGTTCATCAGACTCATCCTTACCTGAATTTTATACTTTGCCTTCCCGTTTCAACCTCTGTCTGTTTGTAATGAGAGGGAGCATCATTAAAACCCAAAATGCCACTGTTAAGCAAATATGCGTGAATGAAAACTGAATTGGGTACCATCAAAGAAAGAAAGAAAGAAATGAGCAGACTGAAATTTGAATAACTGTCAACATGTTCTGGCCATGCCATTGCTTTGAAAAATAAATCAAAAACAAAACTACTAATACCAATTACTAACTTAATTCCTCAATCCCATCAATACCAGATCATGAGAGCATTTAATTGCAAAACAGCCATGAAAGACTGGATTCTGAAAGCATTCAAGATGCAGACATTTAAAAAATATTTAGAGGTGCCAGTGCTGGCATCGCAGTGGGGAATATCACACCAGTACACACTGTTCTTTGCTCCTGCTCTGGGAAATCTGGGTCAGGTGGCCCAGGTGGGTGGCATCATAATTGGGCAGTTCTTCACTCTCTACTTGCTTCACCTACAAAAACCAGAAGCTTTGAGGCTGACTGAGCAGCAGTTGCCCTCTACAGAGACACTTGTGTGGTGCACCAGGAGTGGGTTTAAATGGTGGAGATAATTGCTTAATTCAAGTTGTAGCAACTGGCCAAGTAAACACGTAGCAGCCAGGAAGCTATTAGCATGATTTTAAGGCAATTATTCCATTAGTGTTTAATAGTCTCCAATTAGTCTTCTCTATCAAAGTTTGAACTTCTTTTTTTTTTTTTTTTCCCAAAAAAACTCAGTGTTGAGTAAGGCAGAAAGGTGCCAAACCATTTTTATATGTCTGGTCCTATCAAACCTGCTTTATAGATTCACAGAAATATTTGGGATCATAGATTTGGCAAAATACTTTGTGCGGCTGTGTTTTTTTTTTTTTTTTTTTCCTTAGAAGTAGTGGGGTGAGAGTGTGAGATTTCGCAGGGGATCTTTCTAGCAGAGTTGAGCAAGCGATGGAAATTCTCACGATAGCCTATGCCTTCATCTTCATGGATCCTCTCTAACATCATCAGAATACCAGTCTCCAACCTCACATTTCCACTTTGTCCTAGGAAGAGAACAGGAAAATTGCCCTGTTCTATGACTTCTTAGATCCTTTTCTCCTCACTTAGGTTAGTATGAGGGAGCTTCAAAAATTCATAGAAAACACATATTATGAAAAACTGTGCATGGATTTCAAATTTTTTTGCACTAAAATAAACAACTTTTTATTCTGATTTTCCAAGAACTTTTGGAAGTACCCTCATACTTGTTGCTGCTGAATCATCCAGACAGAAATCCCAAAGCCTGCCCCTCCAAAAATTCCTAGGAAACCTTCCCTAGGAAGGCCTAAGTTAGGGGGTCAGACCTCTGAACTGATAGGTCATTTGCCTACACTAAGTTTCAAATTTTTCACTGATGAAGTGAAGATGATAATACCAGCACTATCTGCTTGCTGGGGCTTAGAGAAGGATGCTGTGAGCTGGGATACCGAACAGTGCTTTGCAGGTGGATTATAAACAGGTAAGGCAGATTCAGACATGGTGTCACACCATTCCTCAGAACGAGCGACGCCAGCTAAGGCTTTTCTTCTCTTGAGAGTCACCTGCCAAAGGCTGGCAACACAGCCCCTGCGCTTCTTACTTCCTGAACATTCCAAAAATGCTTGGGTGAGACCACATGGAAATAACTGTCTAAAAACTAAACAGAAATGAAAGAAGAAAAAGAATGGCAATGTCTATGGAAATGAGAGGGGGAATTTTGCCAACAAAGTTGTCTACTTTCTACTGCCTCCTTCAAAAGAGCAATCCCTAGGCTCACCCAGGGAGTCTGGTAAGTGCAGAGTGGAGAAGCTGGGGTGTTCTTTTCCTTGGAGAGCTCTGGGCCCTTAGGAAGCTATCTGCGCAAGAAGGGTAAGAGGAAACAACCACACTGGGGCCTGCTATCACAGGGCAGCCTGTGCCGGTCATAGCCGCCACACACACACCGTACCAACATTCCTGTTGGAGCCTCCTGGGATATTCAAGAGGACCATTGTCAAAAGAGCCCCCCTTTTGTGTTTTCTTGGGGAGTGGGAGGTATCGGGGTTTTCTTTCCTGTTTTGCTCAGAGGCTGAAAGGGGACCTGGATGGGGCAATGCCAGAGGAGGTAGACCAGAAGGTTTAACTTAATCACGCATATCAGCGAACAACCTGGCAGTAATTTGCCCTGCAGCTCCGACTTAGCAGGATCAGGTGTGTGCTCCCTCAGCCCATGTGCACTGACAAATTGGTAACGAAGTGTGGCCTTGTCCCCAGCTGTCAGCGTCGTAAACTGTCCGGAAACGACCCTCCCTCCTGACCCTCGTTCCTGGTCACCTGCGCTAGGGGCTGCTGCGCGCTCCCGCCGCAGAAACCTGCCCAGGTCTCCAGTCCAACTCGCGCGCGCCATGCTGAAGCCTCTGGATGTCTCCCACTCTTCCCCGCTTTGTCCGCGCTTTCCTCCTTCCAGGCTGTCTGCCCAGCGGCGCAATCCCTTTCTTTCTCCCTACTATTTTCCAGTTAATCCCACCCCTCTGTCGCTGCCTACGCAGGTTTCCCTTCGCGGCTTCGTTCGCTAGAAGCAGGTGCACAGTCCGCAGGGATTTGCTCTCCTGGCCCGAGCGCGATACGACGCTAACAAGCCCTGGGACCAGACTCCAGACGCTGGCCACTCGGCCAGGCCCTCCAGATCCACACCGAACAGGAAACTGCCCCTCGGCCCCTCGGCCCCCTTTAGCTCCTGGTCAAGGGCAGCGATCACACCTCCGCAGGTCCTTGAACTTTAATCACTTTTCCGGAGCGTTTTGTCTTGTTAAAGGAGACTGGGGACGAATATTAATGGTTCGGATAGGTTCGAACCTAGAATCTACCAGATCCGCTCAATTCCGCGCCAGGGATGGATTTAGGAGAGGTGCAGGCGCCAGAGACCAGCCCTAGGACACAGCCGGCACTGGTCGCGCACGGCCACCCCCAGACTCAGAAATCGCCCCCACCCCTCAAATCTGTAGGGCAAACCGTGGGAAGGGGCGCGAGGCGCTCTCCACTGCCTTAGCCCTGGGCACACAGCCAGTTTCAAAAGCCGGGGCCCGGGGAAGGGGGGGGGAGGGGGCAGTCACCTTGACTCCTGGAACCGGGGTCCCCAGAGATTTGGAAAACGCCCGGAAACCCGAGGCTACCCGGCACGCCTTGCCGGTCCGAGACCCAGCCCAGAGGCAGAGTTGCCCTCCCGCGGGCCCCGTGGCAAGTTACCACTTAGCGCAGAGAAAGCAGGGCGGGGCAGGTGCAGTGGGTGCCGCGCGCCGGGTAGCGGCAGCCTCCGCGCGCCTACCTGGGATGGCTAAATTGGTGAGGGGGATGCTGTGGATGCTCTCGGGCAGAGTTGCCATCCAGTCGGCGAATTTGAGCTCGTTTCTCCCCTGGGACGAGGCCATCGTGCCGGTCGGCGTGCGGCGCGCTGCTCCCCGCGCTCCTCCGGCAGGCTGACAGGCGGCTGCCGCTAATCCAATGTTTGCTCCAGCCCGCTGGAGTTTACACTCCGCTCTGCGCCACACCCACAGGATGGCGCAGACACATGCTAATTTTCATAATTATTCAAAACACCCCATGCTCCCCTAGTGCCTGCGCCTGACTCCGCTGGAGCTTGTGTTCCTGACGTCCGCGCTCAGCTTTCTCCGCTCTCTCCTCCCTCCAGACTCCCTCCCTCCAGTTTTACCCCTCCTAGGCGGCTCTGCCTCTCCTCGCCATTCTGCACGGTTCCTAGGCTTGTTGTTGTTGTTATTAATTAATTTATTTTTTTCTAAGTTGATTCCTCCAAGTGCTTTGTGTAAGGTCTCGCTGTGTCCTTTGGTGTGACTTCTGGTGCCAGGTGTAATAAAAACAGTTTGCCTAGAACCTAAATTGGTAGTGCACTTTGGGGGTGGTTTTACCTCCTGAGGACAGATTCTCATGCTGGCCTTCAAGACTTTGCATTCTTAAGAAAGGGCATTGCTTTCTGTGAACTGAGCCAGGTGAGATGTTACCTCTGGGTCCACCACCCTGCTGGAACAGAAGAGTGGTCTCTATTCAGCACCTGGGCTAATTTTTGGAAGTTTGGTGCCAGGAAAGGGCAGCGAATTCAGACAGTTTCTTCTTAACCCCTGATACCAAGCTCCAGACATTTCATACCAAAGACATGCTGCACCCCTTCCTGTCTTGGGCCATGGCAATTCTGGGTTATCTCTATGGAGAAAGCTGTCTGTGGCTGGTGGGTCTTATGACAGTGGGCAAGACTGAAAGCTGATCCTGAAAGAAAACCACCACATCTTTCAGTGGCTCACTGTAATTACTGCAGGTAGCATTTGGTGGAATATATCTGGCACCATCCAAAGTGATCTGATTGTTTGGGTTTTCATTCCTTGGCAGAGTAAAGACATGTCTCTCTCTCAAAAGAAATCACTCATGGAGTCGTAAAGAACTGTCAAGGTCCACCTGTTCTCTGATGAGAAAGGAAAGATCAAGTCTCAGCAATGTGATGAAACCAGTGGTGGCCTCCGTGAAAATATGTGAGGTGGGCTGGAAGTGTGATGGGTCTCAGCCACCCAGAGAATGTAGAGGCAGTAAAGGTACCCCTGTTCCATTGGTGCACATATTCTTTCCCTGAAGAACATGCAACTACACTGAAGAAAGTAAAAATCAAGGTAGGAGAGATTGAGAGAACTATGAAACATGAGAATAACCACTTTAGTTCAGTAAACCCGCTTAGCATTTTATTTTAAAAAAGAACCCTCAAGCCTAGTTTATTTTATAGGATGCTCCGTCCAAAGAATATTCACCCAGTATTGGGGAGCACTCTGGGGAAGATGGAGAGAGGAGAGATAATCACTAGAAGGGTGGGAGTGTGGGTGGGAGGGTAGGTATGTTGGGAAGAATCACTATGTTCCTAAAGTGGTATTTATGAAATGCATGAAGTTTATGTACCTTAAATAAAAATTTTCTGGGAAAAAATCTTCCATTCTCTCATAGAATCAACTTGTAGTTCCAAGAAGACAAGGCAAAGTCATCTTTAGGGATGAGAAAGAGATGTGCCTTTTTTTTTCCCTCCAGGCAAATCTTAATATTCATGCAAGCACAGTAGTTCAAACACATATATCCTTTAAATTAGAATGGTAATTTAGCTCACAATAATATCCTTGTCAAAAGATCTACATAACCACTGTTCTGTTAATGCTGGTATTCTCAGGGTGTCATGGCCAGGAAGCAGGGGAAGTTCAGCACTGGAAGTCAGGTACTCTGAGTAGTATGGGCAAGTCCCCGTTTCTGCCAGTCCTAGTCTTCTCCATTTAAAAATGATGCTAATAACTCAGATTGTGATGAAGCTTCCAGGAGACAGTGTATCCCTGCTTAGTGTCGCTCCCTTGCCCGCAAAGGAACGACGTTGCAAGCAGCTTATCGGTCTTCAGTAGACTTTATTTAAACAGGATAGAAAAAGAAACCCTCGAGCAAGGGGAGCTCCGAAAGAAAGGGGAAGCTCCTGTTACTATTACACGAACGGCTTATATAGTATAACATTGCAGAAGCATGTAATGCAAACTTAGTCCATGTTACAGTCCATGCGGCGATGCTCCAATCGGGTGCCTGATCATGCACAGTCCAACACTCCTTGTCCAGCCATAAAGCTGATCACGTGTCTTCATCCAATCAAGCTCCTGATCATGTAGCAGGCGGCTCGGATGCCAGCAAAAAGCTTATCATTGCTCCACCTGGTGTTTTCTCAACTCTTGGTCAGTGGGAAAAGAAGTATGGGAAGTACCAAGGCCATAGTTGTAGACTCAACCCTGAGGTTATGGAAAGGTCCCGATATTGCAGCTCAACAGAAACCATAAACATCCACACAGCAGTAACTATTGCAAAGGGTCAGCAAGCTAAGCCTTAGCATGTGGGCCCATGGCCGGCTCATGGGTCCCCACAGCTTAGTAAGATAATAGAATACCTACTTACCTGTCTTTGTCTTTTCTATCCTTACAAAGTGCACTTTCAACAGGATGATGTAATTGTTGAATATGGGGAATATTTTTTAAATAAAATATGCTTTTAAAATATTTTTTATTTGAGAGGTAGAGAGATAGAGAAAGAGATAGAGATAGAGAGATAGGGAGCATATCGTCTGGTTTGTTCCTCCCAGTGCCTGCAACAACCCCAGCTGGGCCAGGGCCCAAGCTGAAAGACAGGAACCTAATCCATGTCTCCCATGTGAGTAGCAGGAATCCAATTCCCTGAGCCATCATCACTGCATCCCAGGGTCTACATTTGGAGGAAACTAAAGTTGGGAGCTAGAGGTGGAAATTTAACCTAACCAAGTACTAGGATTTGGCACATGAGTACTTGAAGCGCTAAGTTAAATACTCTCTCTACTATATGCTTATAACACATGCCTCTTCCAATGTATTCCTATGTGTCTTGAAAAGTTTACAGTTGCTGTTTTCATAAAAATGAAACCAACTTAAAATTTTGGGGAAAGTTCTCTGCAAGGAATTTTTAAACTTTTATTTAATAAATATAAATTTCAAAAGTACAACTTTTGGATTATAGCGGTTTTCCCCTCATAACCACCCTCCAACCTGCAAACCATCCCATCTCCTACTCCCCTCCCATCCCATTCTTCATTAAGATCCATTTTTAATTATCTTTAAATACAGAAGATCAACTTAGTATATACTAAGTAAAGATTTCAACAGTTTGTACTCACACAGACACACAAAGTATAAAGTACTGTTTGGAGACTAGTTTTACTGTTAATTTGCATAGTACAACACATTAAGGACAGAAGTCTCACACGGGGAACAAGTGCACAGTGAATCCCATTGTTGATTTAACAATTGATACTCTTACCGGAGGCTCTTGTCATGATTTACCAAGGCTATGGAAGCCTCTTGAGTTCACAAACTCCGACCTTATTTAGACAAGGCCATAATCAAAGTGGAAGTTCTCTCCTCCCTGAGAAAGGTATCTCCTTCTTTGATGGCCCATTCTTTCTGCTGGGATCTCACTCACAGAGTTCTTTCTTTTAGGTCATGTTGTTGTTGTTGTTGTTTTGGTGGTGGGTTTTTTTTTTTTTTTTTTTTTGCCACAGTGTCTTGGCTTTCCAAGCCTAAAATACTCTCATGGGCTTTTTAGCCAGATCTAATGCCTTAAGGGCTGATTCTGAGGCCAGAGTGCTCTTTAGGGCATCTGCCATTCTATGATTCTGCTGCGTATCCCACTTCCCATGCTGGATCATTATCTCCTTTTTAATTCTATCAGTTAGTATTAGCAGATACTATTCTTGTTTATGTGATCCCTTTGACACTTAATCCTATCTTTATGATCAATTATGAACTTAAGCTGATCACTTTAACTAGTAAGATGGCATTGGTACATACCAACTTAATGGGATTTGGAGTCCCATGGTACATTTCTAGCTCAACCATTAGGGGTATGTCCGAATGAGTGTGTTCCGAACTGTACATTTCCTCCCTCTCTTATTCCCACTCTTATTTTTAACAGGGATCAAATTTCAGTTAAATTTAAACACCTAAGAATAATTGTGTGTTAATTAAAGAGTTCAAACAGTAGTATTAAGTAGAACAAGAAAATACTAAAAAGAATAAAATAGTAAACTGTTCTTCGACAGACAGGACAAGGGCTGATCAAGTCACTGTTTCTCATAGTGTCAGTTTCACTTCAACAGGTTTCCTTTTAGGTGCTCAGTTAGTTGTCACTGATCAGGGAGAACATATGATATTCGTCCCTTTGGGACTGGCTTATTTCATTCAGCATGATGTTTTCCAGATTCCTCCATTTTGTTCTGCAAGGAATTTTACTCTAAGTTTTAGTTAAGCAAACAATCCCTTCTCTATTTTATCTGCTTTGAATTTCAGGATTTTTAATGCATTGGTTGAACATAAATCATTATCATTCCCTGCATGCATTCCACTAGGAAAGACAGAGTAGAAAGTTTATAGAGCTGAATTTAATTCCTAGTCTGTAATCAATATTTTAGACAATTTTATGACCTAGTTTCCTCATCTTTTTATTGGCAGCCTTGCTACCATTTATTACATGACATTAGGAAAATCATGTTATTTCTCCGGGCTTTATAATTTGGTCACTGTATCAGTTAGGGTTCTGCAAAGAAACAGAACCAGTAGTATACACAAAGAGATTTATTTTCAAAAATTGAACTGCATAGAAGTGAAAACTAAAAAGTCTAAAATCTGTAGTGCAGACAAAAAGGCTGGACAATCAGGAAAGAGTTGATGGTGCAATCAAAACAAAATCAAAATCAAAAGTCCAAAACCTGCACACCATGCCAAATAGGGTGGGAACTAAGGGAGTCTACATTGTAGTGAGGGAAAGAACAGCTTCTTCTTCTTCAGGAAATGTTAGTCTTTCCTTGTAAGAACTTTGATTGGTTGAGGATCTCTCACATTATAGCAGATAATCAGCTATACTCAAATGATTGTATCTATTAATCACAGCCACAAACATCTTCATAACAACATTTATTCTAGTATTTTACCAAACACCTGGGCATCATGGCCTAACCATGTTGACACATAAGCTATCACTCCCACTGCTCCTGATTTCTCCAGTCCCTTTTATCTTATTATATTTAAATTAAATATAACTCTATTTCCTTTTTATTATTTCTAATACATATAGCTGCT